ACAACTGTAATTGCATTTTCTAATAAAACATCCCAAAATATTTGTTTTATTTACAACTTAATTTTTTTTTTTACAGTGTACTCTTTAGCGATTTTATTTTATTTATTTATATTTTATTTCCAGGATTTATGGCTGTTGTAAATTTCATGAAGAGCAGATATCGACAGGTTTGTTATTGTTAGCTATAAATACAATTAAAATTAAAAACATTTTGAATGAAAGTATTTTGTAAAAAATTTGTAAAACATATATTACTATTTATTACAACATTTCTCATTTATTTTAATTTAATTTGATACAGGGTTTAACTAAAACAAACAAAATAATAATTACTTGAAATAAAATAAATGTTAAATTAAATTAAATTAAATATTTAAAAACTCTAAATGATTTTATTTCAGCTAGTTGATAAGGCAAACTTTTATTTAGTTTAACCTGATGTACTAAAATAACTAAGTAATAATTAAGAAAAACTATAGAGACAAAATTAAACAAAAAAGAGCACTAAAATCAAATATCATTTTAAAATATTTATATATTTTACAAAAAATAAAATCTAATTCAAAATCTTAACAAATGCTTATTTATAAATAAATATGATTCATATATTATTATTTATCCTTATCGATAAATATTATCTCAATGAAAAAAAAAAACACTGACTTGAAGTACTAAAATAACTGCAACTAAAATAAAAATATAAGAACTAGGTAGACATCTTTAAAAACTAATATAAATGACAAAAGCATAATTTCTAAAACTTTAAGATTAAAAGAAACAGATCATACTTTAATCTTGAGATGAAAGCAGCTGTGCTCTCTGGAGCTTTTCAGAAGAGAAGCTATAAATGCAGTGTTGAATAGCTCATGTTTACCAGCTGTTTTCTGCGGTTAGATCAGTTTAGGAGACAGCCAGCCGCTAGTTCTCTCCGTCTGCAGACGCTCGGATGAAGAGATGAAGGAGTTTCTCTACCTCTGAGTGTGTGACGTCAGCACTGAGCACCTGCAGAGATCTGCCACCATCTCGACCCGGTCTTCTGATCTCACTGGAGGACCCTTTGTGATGTCCATCCGGTCCACAGACACTGGAACACCATCATCACACAGCAGATGACGACCTCGCAAACAACTGACCTGCCCGTTTAGTGCTTTCAAGTCAAGTCATGTTTATATTTAGATTTTTTTGCACCCTCAGATTCCAGATTTTCAAATATTGTCCTATCCTAACAAACCATACATCAATGGAAATATTATTTATTCAGCTTCAGATGATGCATAAACCTCAATTTCACAAAATTGACCCTTATGACAGGTTTATATAAGTTAGCACTTTTTATAATGCACAACGTTTCAGAGCAGCGTTACACAAAATCAAGATGTTAATGTTTGTAATATCTTAATATCTTTCCTCCCGGGGACCTAGGAATAGACTTTTTTTCCTCTGTAGTAGACATTCTATTTTAGTGAATTTCTCTGAGATCTTACATGTCACAGTTTTAAGTCTGGATGTCCTGTAAAGAGCACACTTTTCTTTATATTTGCTTTTTTACATATCTTTGTACATTTCTTTATTTCTAATTATGTGAGGGATGCATGCCGTGCATGACATACAGACAAAAATATGTTTATTGTGGCTACAAATTCAGATGTATTCTCTCGTTTTAGTAAATCGTGGCCACATTATGTTAATTTGTTCCCTTGTTTTGATTTAGCTAAATGACTGAGCTAAAAGGAGGAAACTAATTCATAAATTTGTGCATGATTTAACTAACTTGCCAACAACTTGTCATGCAAACAAATTCTTAAATTGTGCACAATTTAATTAAAACATGCAAACTATTTTAATTGGCTGGTGTGTGTGTTTTGCCGAACACACGCCAGTCCTGAATTCACACTGATTGTGTTTAATCAGGATTTGGATTCATGCATGAATCTGATTTCATAGAAACTGCCTCCTACAGAAGGTCACTTGTTTTTAATCATCTTTATTATTGTTCATTTACAGTCCTTCCTCTACTTTACTTTATGATTGCACAGATAGCATCACTGAATCAATGATGAACTGCCTTTAACTGAGAATTGAGTGTTTACTATTGTCATTCTGCATTATTACACACTATTTAACACTGTAAAGCTGCTTTGACACTATCTGTATTATTAAAAGCACTATATAAATAAAGGTGACTTTACTACTTGCACTCATGATGATGTTTTACTGAAGCATGAAGACTATCAGTGGAAGATTACAAATGTTGTATGAATCAATGTGTATTAATACTTTTATAATCAATATCAGATATCAGTCAGATATTATATCTACTGCCACTGCAAATTAAACTTTTTATGTTTGTAACCGTGTGTCTGCGTGTTAATGAGCTCATGTAATGAAATCAGCATTTATTATCCAGTGAATGGGTGCCGTCAGAATGAGAGTCCAAACAGCTGATAAAAACATCACAATAATCCACAAGTAATCCACAGCACTCCAGTCCATCAGTTAACATCTGGAGAAGACAAAAGCTGAAACTAATCCAGCATTAAGACGTTTTTAACTAAAATACCATAGAGTCTATAATCCATAATAACTCTTCCTCCAGTGAAAAAGTGTTCTGGTCTGAATCAGGAGAGAAATCTGCACAGATCAAGCAGCGTTTAAACAGTCTAAAATTTTACATCTGTTGTCTTCTCCAGATGTTAACTGATGGACTGGAGTGCTGTGGATTATTGTGATGTTTTTATCTGTTTGGACTCTCATTCTGACGGCACCCATTCACTTGCAGTGAGACACTGATGCAATGCTACATTTCTCCAAACCTGATGAAGAAACAAACTCATCCTGATCTGGAATCGCCTGAGAGTGAGGAAACATTCAGCACATTTTCACATGAAGCAGAAACACGCCGGACTCCTGCAGAATCATTTCCAGGCCTTTATTTCTTGACTGGTCGAGCTGCGACACACACACAAATAAACTGGCAGAAGTACGCTATGCTCTCAACGCTTGATAAAATGTGAAAAATAAATACTGCGTTTGTAGCTAAGGTTATCGGTTTAGTTCCAGTAACAATCCACAGGTTTATAAAAATGCACTCTATTTCAAACACAAGCCAGACGGACGGAAAAAGAAAATGTGGCATCATCATCATCAGGAAAAATGATCAAAAGTTTAAGACAGTGAGGGAGTCGTTCTGGACTGATTCAGATTCCCTCGTGAGACGAGCACTTCGGTGAGAGCGGCGATTCAGACACGAACAAACACCCAACGCCTTCGGTTTGCAGTTTGACGTTTTTCACGTGTGTCCTTTAGGAGCAAATCAAGAGCAAAAGGCCAGAAAGAGCCTTCTCACCATCATCTGTGAGACCTCAGATCCACATCGACACGCTTCAGGAGAGAAAAACCACACACGATCATCTGCTGCAGATTCAGTGAATGACGGTGATGGACATCAGTGGATGCGAGGACATATTTCTTATTGCTAATCAAACACGGATGCTTCTGATGAGCGTTTGCTCCCTTTGTGCCTCTGGATCTGCACTGAAATACACTAAAAATCATGTTCTGGACTGAGAGGCATCACACGTTAATGTCAAATCAATCCAAAACACGCTTCTAAAGGCAGTTCAGATCCAAAACGAACATCAAAAGTGTTGAAATCCAGAATAACGAGCAACACAAAGAAACGAAGCGACGAGAGACATTCAGGTCAGTCACAGGATTCCCAAAACACCAAATGACCAAAATGAAAAAACGAGTTGAAGAAAAAGTCTTATTGCCTCAAAGGAACTCAAAGGTCATATTTACACAGTAGAAAATGGTTTGGTAAGTGCAGGACTTCAGTGTATCTCCACATGCAGATGTGAACAACGCACACATCACACTCGATTGTGAAATGATCGGACAGGCAAACACAGATCTAGAGACGCTTCGTCTGTGTGAGGATGAGCGTGTGAATGTTTGGCACCATGTGACCGGCGTCTGACGACACTCCACTCAAACCAGCCACGTTATGCTTCATCTGAACGTCACAGGAACAGGAAATCAATTTTCACATCATGACAGAACTAAAACAACTCAATCCTGGTAAGGAAATTAGCACCAGTCAGTATGAGAGTGTGTTCTTACACACACACTCTCTCACACACGCGCACACACACACACACACACACACACACACACACACTCTCTCTCTCTCACACACGCACACACACACACGTGAATCTCAGTAGCTCACATTTCGGAAACAGATTTTTACATTGTAACAATTTTTTTCACAATCTTCCAGGAAAATATGGAGAAGGAAAACTGATAGATTTGAATTTCATAAATTTGAGATGTGATATTTGACAATTTAAATAGCTGTAGTGTGTTTTAAACAGCACATTTTAGTGTGAAACTAAAAAATGTACGTAACAGTAAATATTTATACAATTAATATATATATATTAATTTAAAAAAATAAATAAAAAATAATGTGTTTTTTTGACCTGTGTATTTTGACATTGCAAAAAAATAAAAAATAAAATTGCACAAAAAAAAAAAGAAGTGTTTTTTTATCTTTGAGCTGTGACGGTGTGGCTAGGAGAACGATGTCCACCTGTTCTTCCCTCTATAAAAGCTTTGGTTTTGTTGGTGTGGTTCTTGCTTGTTTGCTCCCGGTTGTTTTGTGTTTGCTTTTGGTTTCGAGTTGTTTATTTGGGATTTTGTTATGAGTTGTGAGACTTGTTCTGTCTGACACCAACATCATGTGTCAGACAGAAATTGTAGTTATTTTTCGTTGTTTTGTTGTTTTATATATTTTTCCTTTCTTATGTTAATAAATATTTCTGTTCCGTACTATGTCCATTTCGAAAGAATGTGTTTTGTCTTTTGGCAAAATATTTTGACTGCAATAAAACACAAAAAAATTGATTATTTTGATGTTGCAAAAAATACAAACAATAAGTTGTTTTTTTGTCTTTCATTAAATTGTTTTGATTTTGCAAAAAATAACTGCAAAAAATGTGTTTTGTCTTTCAACAAAATATTACTTTGACTGTGGTGAAACATGAGCTGCATGAATTCTGGTGAGATTCACTCGTTTCCAGCAGAAAGGACAGAAGATGAGCGCATGGATCAGACACAAACACACACGGTCAGACGGTCAGTGCAGTGGCTTTGAGACACACACACACACACACACACACGCACAGATCTGTATGTAGAGGACAGAAGGCAGCCCTTATCACGAGTCCCACGCTGGTCCTCCAGAGCGAAGCGCCGATTCAGCTCATGCATCACACACACGCTCACACACACACTCGCCGCATGTGCGTCCCTCATCAGTAGTCTTGAAATGTAAAGGGGAAGAGCAGGGCGCTCCGCGTCCTCCAAGGGTCTGTGGAAGGCTCTGGTGTTGGTCTGAGCTGTGCTTCAGCGCTGTGTCTGTAATCTCTCCGCGTCCAGCGCCGGCCGGAGGAGCGGGAAACACACTCCAGAAACAAAGCGTCTCTGACGGTCAGCCGTGTGGCCAGGGTCAAAGCGCGGTCAAGCCGAAGTTACAGCGGCAGTACATCATCCCGCTGGAGTCGTGCCAGCTGTCCGTGATCGGATCGTACCGCTGCACCGCGCTCAGATACGACGAGCCCGAGTGACCCCCGACCACATAGAGATAGTTATCCACCACAGCAGAGCCCACGCCTGAGAGAAACACACACACACACACACAGAGAG